TACCGCCCCGCGCACGCCACCGGCTCACGGCGCTTACACAACACGGCCGCGGCCGCCCATACGCTCAGGTCCGCCCAGCAAAGTGTGATCAGCCTGCGTGCACGCAGGGTCACGACCCGAGACACGGGGACACCACCGTGTGCGCAGGGCCAGGGCCACAGGCACACAGTCGCACAACGCACTCACACACACGCAGTCACATGCACGCACACATCCACTTGTGCGTGTATACTATGCACACTCACATGTGCACATCACATGCGTGCATATACACACTAACAAAAATGCACAGACAAATACATGTACACACAGTACATACACATACCCTGACACACGTCTACAACACACAGTCACATCCACACGTCCACATGCTTACACAGTGCTGGCACACACTTAACATACATGCACACTTAAAACAGGTTCACATCATTTACAACCACACACAGTCCCACACTCACATGTGTACATGCTCACACAGGAACACAAATATTGACTCTGATACTCATCTGCACACATTCCCAGACACACGCATGCAGGTGCTCATTCTCAGACTCCCAAACACACAGGTGCCCCCAGGCCCCATCCACAGACTCAGGAGCCCACCAAATACCCACCAGGGTGCAGCCCCTACAGCCTCCAGTCCGTGACACACACCTCACACTCACACGTGGGGCCTCCCAGTCAGAAGCCCAAGGCCACACACACTTGAACACATGGAACCACCGCAGAGGACTTGGCAACTGGGGGGTGGCTGGGAAGGAAGCCCTCCCGCTCACACGGGTGGATGCCCCACTCTGGGCGGTTGGTCAGGTTTGCCGCACCCCTGGCGGTCTCTGAGCTGGGGTGGGCTGTGACTGCCTGCCTCTGTCCTAGCCTGTGCTCCCTCCTCTCCTCTCCTCCCTGCTGTATTCATCCCTTCTGGCTGCCGGCATCTTCCTCCCCTCCTTCTGCTCCCTCTTCACCTTCCCGCCCCCATCTCTGAGCACACGCACACGCACACGCACACGCACGCTGACTGTCACAGACCACGCTCCCCACGCCGCCCAGTCCCGGGTGACAGACTCGCAGCGGTGGGCGTGGGAGCTCAGCAGCAGGGGACACAGGCAGCACTGAGGGGAACAGGGAGGAGGGAAGAGGAAGCCTCCCCACCACAGGGAAGGGTGCGCCCACTCCAGACCGCACACAGTTCGCACAGTTCCGGGGCGCCTCAGCAGGCCTGTGGGAGACGCAGTGAGGAGGCAGAGAGGCTCAGAGAAGGCAGGGTGCACAGCCACAGGAGGACAGCGCGGGCTGGAGCCCATGGCCTGGGTGCCCAGTTGGAAGCCCCCTCCAGCATCTAGGCCCAAATCCTGGAGCCCCAGATGCCACCCCGGTACCCGTCTGTCCCCACACCCCTGAATGTCCTCAGGGTGGACTGCGTCCTGCCAGGCACATGCAGGCACCCTCTGAGGCTCAGCGTCTCCCCTCCCCAGGCCCTGATGCTGGTGGCCGCCTTGGCGGGCCTGGGCCTGGGCCTCAGCCTCATCTTCATCGCTGTCTACCTCATCCGCTTCTGCTGCTGCCGGCCCCCCGACCCCCCCGGGGCCAAGAGCCCCCCGCCCGGGGGAGGTTGCATCATCTGGAGCTGCATTGCTGCCCTCCTCGTTGGCTGGTAACCGGGCCCCAGGGTGGTACGCGGGCAGGGTTCCCCCGGCTTGCTCCCCACCACCCTTCCCACCCTCGTCCTGGGGTGCGGGGGCCAGAGACAGGAAGGAGAAGCCCACTCCACCCAGCGCAGCTGTGCCCACTTGGCGGACGGAGGAACTGAGGTCACAAGGAGAAGCAACCTTCCTGAGCGAAGGCTTAGGGTGGACAGTGTGGCACTCGGCAGCCCTTG